TGTGAGTTGTTGTGTTGTATATTGCTTAGCAACAAAAATCTATTATAAGTCCTTTAATAATGTCCCATAACCCATTTTGATTTGTTTTACTTGTATATAATTTGATATGTAATCTTATTTTTATATTCATAATTATATTCTATATTCCTTTTTGTAATTTACATTTTTATTTAATAGTATAAATAAAATATTTCCATCTTCTTTGGTAACATTTATAATTGAGATGCTATATGGAGCATATGTTAAATACTCATAGAGCTCCATAATCCATCTTTAATCACTTTTCTAAGTGTATCCCCCTATTAAGCAGCAAATTCCTTGTGCCTTTGTGCTTTTGAAAGTTATGCAAGAACAATGCTATAATTTCTACTCAAAGGTCAGTAGAAAAATGTTATTAATTATAATTCTCACTGAAGCACAAGGAAAGTCCAGCAACACTACTTCAGTTCTTCAGCTTTGAAACATACACCAGAAATAGTAAATATAAGTATTAAATATCATCAAAATATTTTGATGATTTAAAAGTTTTAAAGTAAGTAAGCATTTAGCTTCTTTCAAGTTTAGATTGAGTTTTTGAATGGATTAGAATAATGAACCAATAGTTGAAAATCTACAACTGATTAAAGAATGTATTCAGCCTCTTCTTTGGTTGATCATCATTAAATGTGTTTAAATTATTCTGGTAACAGCTTGCAGCTTTTGATGTTAGCTGTACTGTTAACAAACAGTTTTAATCTAATCACTTGGCTCACGATGAATTTAGACGAAAAGATTTCTTTTAAGGTTTATTTATTTATGCGGTATATTACTTAGCAACAAAAGTCTATTATAAGACCTTTAATAATGTCTCATAACTCATTTTGATTTGTTTTATTTGTATATAATTTGATATGTAATCTTATTTTTATATTCATAATTATATTCTATACCCTGGGGATAGAACTCAGGACCCTGCACTTGCCAGGCAGGCACTGATTCTACTGAGCTATATCCCCAGCCTTCAACATGAATTTAATGGGACAAACAATCTACTCTGTGTATAAAAATGTTGAAATATTTAAATACATCTGTCAGGTCTCCATTTCTTTCCAATTTCTGAAACTAAGCTTCTGTAGTTGGTTTATCTGTTTTTCCTGTTGCATGTGTTTCTGACTCTGAATATACATGGGCAAAGAGGGAGTCCAAGACTGAATACCATGCTCTTTGCCTACTGAGTCAATTCGTGCTTACTACAGAATCGGGGGCCTGGAGACAGACACCTAAGTCCTGGACCTCACACTATTCACCTCTATTAATCTTCACATGACACTGAATCTCTTGAACTCTCAGTATTTACACTTACACAGTGAAAATAATTATCCTAAAGAGGAGCTTTGTTGTGAAATTAAAAGAAATATTTGGCTATACATCAGGGTTAAGTAATGTTTTAAGTTAAACTAAATAAAAGGGAAATATTGGTAGATGCTTAATTATTCAATTTTTGGTGAGCAGCACACATTTCTTTGAGTTACAGAGTTGCTACCATAAATCCAAAATAAGACAGAAAGTACAGTATCTGATGCTTTCTTTGCTCTGGGCTATGCCATTCATGAACACAAAGTACTGACCAATCTTTGGTTTTGCCTTCCCCTCCACTGGACAGCTAGGAGCTAGAGAGTTCCACTGGCATCACACATTGGTCAGGGATTCTGGCCCCTCGAAACTCCTTTCCCTCAGTGTACTTGTCATTTTCATGATAATAGAGGCCATAGTACTATCAGTCTTATCCAACATAAAAGGCTATTTCTTCTGATTTTCTCTTCATATTTTCAGTTATTCTGACTTCACAATGATTTTGGCTGCTGCAAACCAACTTGCAATGCCTCCCTCTCTTAGGCAAACTTGGATGAATGTGCCCAAGAATCACAATTTCTAAGTGCCTCTTGCTGAGAACACAGATTACACAAAAAGTCAACTGGTGTGGGTAGTTATTTTATTTTCAATTTCTTATTGAAACAATGAAAAATTTATTCTAACAAAAATCCATTTATCTTCCACTTACTTTTTAGAAGCAGAGCTGTCGATGCTGAATTCCAAAGAGGGCTTTATAAAGTAGATATTTTCCATTTACTTTTATAGGTAATTGAGTACAATATGAACCTTTGAATGTACCCACTTATGAAAAAGCATAGGTACATACATGTAGTGAGGTTCCTAACAATCCTGGCAAATCCTCTAGAGCTAGTACTGTTGCCCTGTCCCCTTTTGAGAGAAGTCTTTTGGTCTGTTGTATAGAGTGACTTAAAGAACCACCAGTCTAAAAAAAAAGAACCACCAGTCTTATTACAGTGAATCATTAAAGCCTGGCTGGCCTACCCAAAGGGACTTCTACATGCCATGATGTCCCTTGATTTCTTTTTCCCTAGTTAAAGGAAGTGAAGGAGAAGGTTCTCGGCTGTTTAGAAGCATACTTGACATTCATATGTTCTTGACTCTAAAGCTGTCAAAATATTTGTCTTCATTTGCAAGCTTGCTCACTGGTCTAACCTTTACTATGGTCCTAGAAATAGCCCTCCAAATCGCCTTCACTTTTATTCTAAAATTAAGCCCAGACACCTGTTTAGAGATATGTACTATTGTAGCCCTAGAGACAGACTTAAAGACCATCATCACAATTCTAGACCATGGAGCAGCCCTGTGCCTTCATTCCAGCATCTCCCAATGATGCACTACAATAGTACTGTCTGCCCAAAAGCTTACCCCAGCATCCAATGGGGACCCCCTCAACCAGGGAATCAGTGGAATCCACACTTATAAATTCACATGACAGCAGGTGTGCCATCTGAAGACACTGAGGTGAAACTGTATCCAAGCATTCAGTGCCATAGACCAAGATAATAGAGATAGCCCTTCATCCAGCAACCACAGAGAGTACATGGTCACTGGAGCTCCTGCCAAGAGGCTCACCAAAACATGCATCATTGCAGGCCAATAGTTGTTCCTGGAATATCTACTCATTCACAAGAAAAAATTAAAACTGACCCTTATGCCACACCATTTAAAAAATTTAACTCAAATTTATGATCGATATAAATGCAAAAATAAAACAAATTCCTAGAGATAAATGTAAGCCAAAATATTTTCACTGGAGAATAGGCAAAATTTTTGACATAGTTCAATCCAGAGCCACAAACCATAAGAGTCATGCACACAAAAACCACTTTTGATTATTGTAGCTTTTTCATAAGATTTCTCAACAAACAACACTACAGACCAGTATCATAATGAATATAGACACAAAAATTCTTAATACAATGCTTTCAAAACTAATTGAACAACACATTAAAAAGATTGTACACTGTGGTTAATTTGGTTTCATCCCAGGTTTGCAACAGTATGCAAATCAGTAAACATAATACAATACATAAATAGATTAAAGTCACACAGTCATATCAATAAATATTGACAATTAAAAAAATCCCACTATGTAAAAGTCCTGAAGATTATAGGTATGGAAGGATTATACTGTAATGTAATGAGGGCTATATACACCAAATGCATAGTCCACATCACACTGAAAAGGAAAAAATTAAAAGCATTTCCTCTAAAATCAGGAACAAGGCAAAGGTGCCCATTCTCCCCACTGTTATTCAATATAGTATGTGAAACTTTAGCCAGATAAATTAAGAAAAGAAATAAAAGGAATATAAACAGGATAGGAAGAATTCAAATTATACTTATTTTCAGATGATATGAACCTATACTTAGAAAAGCCTAAAGACTGCTCCATAAGACTTTTAGATTAGATAAACAACTTAGGTAGCACAATATAAAGTCAGCACAAAATAGCAATTATTTTTATATCTATGAATAATAGACTTACTAGGAAACAAATCAGAAAAACTAGACCATGCACAATAGTTTGAAAGAATCCCCACATATAAACCTAACAAAGAAGGTGAAAGATATTTACAGTTAAAATTACAGAACACTAAAGAAAGAAATTGAAAAAGAAAAAAAGACACTAGAAGCTGGAAAAGCTGTTCTCATTAATCAGAAAAATTAATATTGTTATAATAACCATAGTGTCAATAACAACATTCAAGGGCTTGGGTGACACCTTGGTAGTCTAAGTGCCTGCCTGGCAAGTGCAAGGACCCGAGTTCAAACCCCAGTTCCACATGACTTTCCAGAACTGGAACCACAGGCATGCCGTGTGGACCCTGAAACCGGGTCTGGTGGTGCACACCTATAATCTCAGTGCCAGGAAAGCTGAGATAGGAGGATCACTATGAGTCTGGGATGCATAATGAGACCCTATACCAAATAAATAAAGCAATAAAAGATTGTCTTAAAAAATCAACAAAGTCAACACAACCTCCATCAAAATACCAGTTCCAGTTTTCATATACATAGAAAATCAATCCTAAAATTAATATGGAAATACAAAATACCAAAAAATAATTTAAAACAATTCTCAGAAAAAGGACAATGCTGGAGACTGGGCACGGTGGTGCACACTTGTAATCCCAGTGCTTGGGAGGCTGAAAACAGGAGGATCACGGTGAGTCTGATCTGTATGCTGAGACCCTGGAGACCCTGTACTAAATACATAAAAAAGAACGACTCTGGATGAATCACAGTACCTAAAGTTTCCATCACCTCTTAATAGCACCGTGTTATGGAGCAAACCTTTAACACAGATGATAATGCAGGGACCCTTCAGAGCAGAATTACTGAAAGGTATAATAACTTATGCCAGAGAAGAAACTTTCAAAACATATGAAAACAACTTTAAAATGATTTCTAGAAAATATTGTTTTATTCAACTTGTGTTTTAAATTATAAAGTTAGTTTTATTAGAAGTACTCACATAATCCTTTTGTGAACAATATCATCTAAAAAGGAAAACTCATCATTAATCAAAAATCTCATTGTTGAGTGATATATACAGACACATATATCAACTAAAGAGAGTTTCTTGTTATTGTAGCTTTGAGATTTTATTGCTACATCAAGTTTTACAAAATAATAGATGACACTATTGTCTGCCTCCCAAGCTCTCTCCTCAGGGCCTCCTTAATCTCCTTGTTCCGGAGGCTGTAGATGAGGGGGTTCAACATGGGGATCACCACCATGTAGAATACAGACACCACCTTGTTCTGGTCGGTGGAGTAGAAGGACTTGGGCATCACATAAATGAAGAAAATGGTTCCAAAGTACAGCGTGACTGCAGTGAGGTGGGAGGTGCAGGTGGAGAAGGCTTTGTGGCGGCCCTCGGTGGAGCGCATCTTCAGGATGGTGATGAGGATGTAGACGTAGGACACGGCGATGACAATCACTGTGCCTACAATGATGGATCCAGAAGAAAATGAGGGAACAACTGCAGGGATGCTGACGTCGGAACAAGAGAGCTCAACTAACGGAGAAAAATCACAGAAAAAGTGATTGACCTGATTTGGTCCACAAAAAAGTAAAGAAAAGAAGGAAAAGGTAAAAGAAGAGGCATTAATAAAACTACCTACATAAGTCATTATAAGTAACTGGACACAGACTTGTGTGGACATGTTGGTTGAGTAAAGCAGTGGGCTGCAGATCGCCACAAAGCGGTCATATGCCATGACAGCCAGAAGGAAGCACTCAGCAGTCCCAAAGAAAACACCGGAGCCGAGCTGGATGCCACATCCGAGGTAGGAGATTGTGTTTACTTCCACCAGGAAGTTTACAAGCATATTGGGTGTGACAGAAAAAGAAAAGCCTAGGTCAGAAAAAGCCAGGTTGCTCAGAAAAAGGTACATGGGGTGGTGGAGCTGAGAGGAGACTCTGATAAGAACAATTATGGTGAAATTACCAGATACAGTCACCAGGTAGATGCACAGGATGACCATGAAGAGGATGACTCGGAGGACTGGATCATCTGTCAGCCCCAACAAAATGAACTCTGTCACTGCAGTGTGGTTCCCATCCATCAGCAAATCCATGAAAAAGATGTAGCAGCTGCCAAAACAAACCTGTGATGCAAGGACTACATAAATAATGATTTAATATGATGGATATGTTTTTATTACCACATAAAGAATGACTATATATATATATATATATATATATATATATATATATATGCAAAGATGAGTCTACCTACAGTATTAAATATTGCATTTTGGTGACAATAAAATGAGTTTACTCTACTGCAGAAAAAAACTAATACAGTGGTCCTCCATTCTTTTTTTTTTTTTTTTTTTTTTTTTTGTCTTGCTGTATTTTGAACTAGGGACCCTGAGCTTGCCAGGCAGGCACTTTATTCTACTGAGCTACCTCCCCGGCCCAAAAAGTTGAAAAGGATTTTTTTTTTGGCTGCCTCAGGATGCCTCAAGGGCAGGTCTTGTAGGGCATGTGGAGCTGGGGATCGAACCCTGGTATCCTGCTCCTGACTGTGTTTGCATAAGCAGGCACTTAAACAACTGAGCTAACCAGCAGGGCCCTGGTCCTCTATTCATGAACTAAATTCTCTCAGCAATACTGGTCACAAGCAAAACTAAATTTTCTCATAAGGACAATATTGAACCTAACAATTGAAATTAATTGGATTCTCATCCAACTTGGCTTATGACCAGAATCATGGAAAGACTAAAATTTGTGAACCCAGGCACCATTATATATCTTTGTATATTTATATACAGGTCATTATACTTTCCAAAAAATAATGTTACTTCTGTTATTATTTTATTTATAAATGAAATCTACAAGAGGTTATGAAACTTATACCAGGTTACATAGCAGGTGATAAAGTCTGAATATAAATCTCAGGAAGTCTCACTGTCTATTCCTGTAGTAAATAAAATGATGAAGAAAAATAAGAGTTATTGTGATGTCTGATACGCTAGGCAATGAGTAGACAACAGGTTCATACTACTCAGTTGGCACCCCTTATGTAGAAGACTTATATTAAGTGAAAGAAATCTGACACACCTGCTTAAGTATTTCATGGTTTCTCATGTGCGAGAAACCCAAATTAGAACTAAAGAGTAAATGGAAGAAAGGAGAAAAGAAGGAAGGGGGAAGAAAAAATACATATATCCAACATAGCTAAGGGAGTTGTATGTCTACTTGCTCTTAGTTCATTGAGAAGAAAGACTTGTGCTTTTATTATTTGACCAATTTTTTGTGTATCTATCTTGTAATCCAGCAACTACTTTTCAGTTTATATGTAATATAACAGCCATTGTTAATATCCCATCATCTTGTTTTGAAATTTTATATCATTGTGTTTATTGCTTTTCTCTTTAACATAAAAAAACATAAAGAGCAAGACAAAAGATAAATCATGGGAAATAGGATGTAGAGCTTTCTCAAAAGGGAAGGGGAAAAAGAGACGGAGGGATAAGGAATATAAACATCACATACTACAGGCACATTTAATCTAAA